AAGAAATCCTCAATTTCTTTCGCTTTCAAGGTTGATGCATATATTCAAATGGTGGTAGTATTAACAGGCATTTCTTGTATGTGTATGGGCAGTCTCCTGTCACTCACAGAATTATACTTCAGGATAAATTGTCAAGTGCTCTTTTTTGATGAATATGACTCCATTATTCTTCAGTGTGTTACTCCCAGTATAGCAGATCACAGGACTGTCTCCTTCAAAATGACCAGCATCAGTCCATCTCCGCTCACTAATGCTTAGGATGTCAACCATAATGGGTCCTATTGTTTTATAACTTTCCATTTTCCTAGATTCAAACTTCATGTATTTTTTTCATTTCCTTTATTAATGGATGTTTACAACTGTTTCTGCTCATTCTGAGTCTTGCCACTTCAACGAATGAAGCCCTTTCATTGCGGAGGGAAGTTTTACTATACTCATTAAGGTAGACTCTACTTTTAGTAGATTCTTCTCCCGTTCCATTCTGAGTCCCTTCCTACCTGACAGGTTCATCTCCAGCTAGCAATAAATCCCAAAATGTGCAAAAACCAAAACAAATGCTGAGCTTGGAGAGGTAGGGGGCATTCAATAGACTAAAGAGACTTCAAGGCAGGTGATATAAAAGATTTAGAACTTAACGAAATAAAGGAAGCAGAATGGGTGAAGTGAAAGCTTTCTAATACATCGAGTCTGCAGTCAGAATACAACTAAGCCATGTTTAGTTACGTCTGTATTTTAGAAACACACACTTCGTAAAATGAAAATGCTTACACATGGGCCATGATACAAAGGCACTCACTAAAGGTTTAGGGGACCAGGAAACTAAAGGTAATCCTGAGCTTGGCCTGAATAAAGGTGACAGCGGGGTTAGGAAAACTTTAGTCCCTGCTCCTTAAAATACATCACAAGTTCAATTTCAAATTATTTTTATTTACCTTATAAGATTGAAATCAAGTCTGGCCATATCAGCATTATCTTCTGGGATATTACGAGCCAAAATTCCTAGTTTAACAAAAAGTATTAGGTTGAAAAAAAGCCAGGAAAAGGCACTCTTTCCAATACAGTCCCATCAGTAGGGACAAAGCCACTATCTCGGGTAGATCAAGAATATCAAACACTTAACTGAGTAACTGGACAGAAAAATCAAGAAAATTAAGAGTATATTTAAAAACTTTTTACATCAGTTCTTGATTTTCCTTGAGTAATAAAATATAAAAAGTTATATGATTCTATCTCACTGCTGTGGCTGGTTTCATTAGGGTTCACCAAGCGCTTCTCAGTCAGGAGCTTGTCTGCTGATTCCTAGCCCTATTACCTTCTAGTACTGCACCTGCGAAGTTACCAACAGAACATTTCAGCAAGTAAGTAATTTTGCTGCTGTGGGTGAATGAACAAAAATAAAAGACTTTGTAAGACATTCTTTTGAAAGGCAGCCACACATCATTACATATGTAAATTGTCATTAAAAAAAGTCTTTTACTTTAAGACCTAAGTATTTTGAGAGTAACTGCAGTGGGAAATACCTCACTCTGAGACAGTCAGGTCTCACAGGCCTGGAAGAGAAGCATGTGAAGACGATCTGAATCCACTGGGTAACAGAACAAGCTTAAAAAGGTTCAAATAACTGATGAACTCTGGTAGTAAGTATGACAAAACTATCAAAACTTCACAGGTAAATTTTTACAGTGCTTATGATTTGTAAACATTGTTCTTCCATTTTTCTCGTTTGTTGTACAAAGTAATCTAAAACATTTCTGGGAATCATGGACAGATTTAAATGGAAGATGTTAACAACTTACCTGCGTGGATGGCAGGATGCAGGGTTTTCACACGGCCCCCCAACATCTCAGGAAACCCTGTCAGCTCAGAGACATCTCTGTAAACAGACCAAAACAGTTAATACTTCTGCTGCTGAATTGTCATTTTACACTCTATCAAAGCACCTTAGGATATTATTGCTCTGAGAGAACTTTAGTGTTTTACTAAACTGAAAAAGATAAAAAAACAAACAAAACAAACCCAACCAAATCCCACTGCTATTGCTACTGAGTTGGTTCCAAGCCAGCAAGCCTCCATCAGGATTCCAAGGCTGTAAAAGGTTCACAGGAGGAGACCGCCCACCCCGCCATTCTCTCTCATGGTCACTAGTGGGTTCAAACACCAGAAACTGCCCTCTTTTCGGCTAGCAGCTCAATACACTACAGACTATATCATCAGCTGCTTTTACCGCTCAACATTTCCAAAATGCCACCTTTTTAAAAACCAAAACCTCTATATTATTAAAGTCAAATATGTGGAAAAAACAGGCCAATAAAAATACAATATTAGACATCAACATGCATCATTAAATTGACCTCAAAGCCAGTATCCTAGAAGACTCTCTCAAAAGTAATCACAAAAATGTAATAATGTGAAAATAATGCTTGTGATATATAACCCACCCAACTCAGTGCCAGTCACACAGCTGACTTCCTAGGAGGCTTCCAAGGGTGCAAATCACATGGGAGGAAACTGCCCATCTTTCTCCTTGGGAGCTGCTGGAGGACTCAATGGCATAGCCTTTGGGCTAGCAGTGCAGTTTCCTACTGACTAGGCCATCGGAGCTCCCTCGGGACATAAAGCAGGGGGAAGGTAAGCAGAAAGATAACCTGTTTTCTCTATAAGATACGGGGCCACTGGCCGCAACATGATAGTGAAGAGACTGAGATAGTTAACCGCTTCAGTTCGCTTGGCTCCACAATCAACACTCTTGGTATTAGCAGCCAGGAAATTAAAAGACAAATCACACTGGGAAAGTCTGCTGTCAGAGACCTCTCCAGAGTACTGAAGAGCAACGATGTCAGTCTGGAGACTAATGTGTGCCTGATGCAGGCCATAGTCTTTGCAATTACTAGCTATGAGTCAGAAAGCTGAACAATGACTAGTGATAATAGAAGGAGAATTCATGCCTTTGAGCTGTCATTCTGGAGAAAAGTACTGAATATTCCACGGACTGCTACGACAAAAAACTGGTTTGTCCAGGAGTGGGTGAAACCAGGCTGCTCCTTGGAGGCAGAGATTCTGAAACTTTGTCTGACATACTTTGCGCATAGTGCAAGGAGAGACCAGGCCTTGGAGAGGGATGTTATGCTTGGGAAGGTGGAGGGACAGCGCAGGAGAGGAAACCCTCAATGAGATGGATTGATTCAGTGGCTGGGGTAATGGGAGTAGGTGTATCAGAGAGGATGAGGCTGGCTAGGGATAAGGAATGGTTCAGAGCTATTGTACACAGGGTTGTCAGGAGTCACAGCAACTCGAGGGCACATAACAACTCTCATGCAACAGATTTGAACCCTGAACCTCTGGGTTAGCAGCACAACTCCTTACTACTAAGCTAGGAGAGCTCCCTCCTCACCATTGTTATTAGGCATCTTTGAGTAGAACTCATAGCGACCCTACCTAGAAACAACAGATCTGAACCTTGTCCTATCCGTTGTTGCCATTCCCACAATCTCTGACACACCTGAGCCCACTGCAGCAGTCACCGTGTCAGTCCATGTGGCTCAGGGCCTTTCTCTCTTTACCACCCCTCCACCTTTCCAAGCACGACATCCTTCTCCAGTAATAACCTACTCTAGCAACATGCCCAAAGTACGTGAGATGAAGTTTCATCATCTTTGCCTCCAAGGAGCAGTCTGGCTGCACCTTCTCCAAGATATATACATGTCTGTTCTTCCGGCAGTCCATGGGATATCCAGCACTCTCCTTTAAACACCACAGTACAGAGGCATCAATTCGTCCTCTGTCATCCTTAGTCACTGTCCAGCTCTTAGGTGTACAGCAAGTGATTGAAAAGCTCATGGCCTTAATCAGGCACACTTTTGTCCCCAAGCTGACATCATTACTTCTAGGCCATGGAAAAGAGCTAAGAACCAGAGCTCTAAAATCAAAACCACTTAGGGTCCAATCATTCCCCAATCACCTTGCTATTAGCTACGGCTGAGTCGAGACCACTCACACAATGAGAGAATAGAATCAGACAGTTATGATACATGGGGTCTCTCACAGGGTTTTCAATGGTTGGTTTTTAGAAGCAGCTTGTCAGCCCTCTCTCCAGTCTTAGTCTGGAATCTCTGCTGTAGCATCCTAGCATCCAGGCTCCACTGACTGGAATGGTTTGCCCTGACCTGCATGGAGCTTGGGTCTCAAGCACTGGGCCACTACTGTCCCTCCTTCTACCACCTACTTAACGCTAAAACTATGCTCAAAGTTCACTGTGGCTCAGTCAGAAACAACTCACAACTAAACCTCCATTGAGTTTTTGAGGCTACAAATACCACTGAGGAACCGCCCATCTTTCTAATTGGAGCTGCCATTGGATCTGAACCGCTAGGGAGGCGTGGCCTTTTGAATAACAAAACTCCCAGGCTTCACTGCCTGAGGGAGTAAGAGCAGCAAATCTGAACGTTAAATTCAGCAGGTTTACTAAATAACCTGTCAAAAGCGATCATGCTTCCTAGAACTTTGCACTTTCCAAAAGGCAGTCCTCGCTAATTCTCGGCTTAAAAGCCAAGCTGCACCTTACCTGACTGTCAGACCAGCATCCCTCAGCGCTTTCGCAGTCCCTCCAGAAGCAACCAGATCCAGGCCAAGAGAAGCGAGGTTTCTGGCAAATTCCACGAGGCCAGTTTTGTCTGAGACACTAAATAAGGCGAGCTGCCCGGGAGCCATGGTCTCAATGGCGGCGGGCGCGGGACAGGCACAGCCCGGGACACCACCAGGATAGATTTCTTAAAAGTGAGATTATGAGAGTCCAAGAGTGAATATACAAGGTAAAACCTTTTTATGAATTATTTTTAATTGCTAGTCAAAAATTCAGACTGGTCCTCTGAAGTCTTTAATCTTTTTCAGGAAATACTTTGAATCCTCTTCATTTTCAGCAAGCAAAGTGTATCATCTGCAAACTGCATGTTTTTTATGAGTCTTCCTCCAATCCTGAAAGCACATTCTTCCTCATATAGTCCATCTTATTTGATGATATGCTTAGCATATAGAAACAATAAATATAGTAAAAGGATACAACTTTGATATACATTTTTCCTGATTTTTAAGCCATGCAGTATCCTCCTATTCAAAGTGTTCCTTGTTCCATGTACAGGTTCCATATAACCATAATTGAGTGTTCTAGAATTACCATTCTTTTTAATATTATCCATAATTTATTATTACTCATACAGTCAGCTGCCTTTGCATTGTCAATAAAACACAAGTATCTTTATAGCATTCTTTGCTTTCTCAACAAAGTTATCTTCCATTTCACTGCCTCTTCTGAATCCAGCTTGAATTCCTAGCAGTTCCCTGAAAACATGCTACTCGAGTTGTTTTCTAATAATCATTAGCAATATTTTATTGTCTGTGCTATTAATCACAGTTTTCTATATATATTTTTTCCATTTTATTGAATTGTTATTTTTGGAATGGACACAAATATAGATTGCTTTTTGTTCTTTGGCCAGGTAACTATCTGCTTTCCAAACTTCTTGGCATGAAAGGGATGCATCTCTATGATGAAATATCTGAATAGGTATTCCATCAATTCCTGGATTCTTACTTTTACCCAATGACTTCAGTATAGCTTTGGACTTCTTTCTTCTGTATATTATCAGTTATACTATTTCTGGAAATGATTCAGTATTTAGCAACATTTTTTAGTACAGTGACTCTGTTTATTCCATTTATTTTATTTTATTTTATTATTTTTGTGTGAGTGTACCGTCAAATCAGATCTGACTGGTACAGGAGGAGATTGTCCCTCCTTTCCCGGCAGAGCATCTGGTGGATTCGAACCGTGAGCCTCTGGGATTGTAGTTGCAGCTCCTTGCCACTAGGCCACCAGAGCTCCCCTCTATTTTT